TCTAGAGCATTAAACAATACTTAACACAATCACCAGTCCTAGCCTAAACCCACCCACCGCCCCGAGTCGGCCTTTTTTATTATACACACGCGCCATGGATCATTCACTTGGGACAATACTAGCCCAAAAGAATGACGACGGCAAAGAACGCACTTTACATTACCTAAGTTGAATGATAGTTGGCACAGAACACCTGTATAACCAGTTCAAAAAGAATGCCTCACTCTCATGTTCGCAGTAGAGAAGATGCGACATTATCTAATTGGTAACACCATATACTTGGTGTTAGGAGTAAACCCTCTCAAGATTCTTGTGACCAATGCTGGCTCTATTGCGATTGATAGAGCCACCCTTGATTGTCATCTCCAGTATGGGTACTGCGTCCAACAAGATAGTTGTTATGGGTAGTAAAACATCAAACTTCCTATTGGGACCCTTTTCATAGATTTATCAAGATACCTTCTCACGAAGTTTCGTTATAGTATCTATAACTTCCTAGTGTTAAAGTGGGCAGCCCGGCAAGTAGACATTTACATGAATTTGCTTATCGACTCCCCACGGCTACAAACTGCTCTAAAGTGCACAGCTTCAAGATTTGATAGGCTTAGTGCACTAGCCTTTTTTGTAGGTTGCTCTACTAGTTGTAGCACACTAGCACCCTTATAGAGTAAAGGGACTCTATCATGATCTTACGAATCTATAACTCTCTTTACTGAGCGAGACTCTATCAGATCTAAATAATTCAGCGTCAAAATGCAACAGCAGCAACAGCAGCAGTAGTCACAACAACCAAATGCCTCGGAAAGGACGGTTGTGATTGAAACTGGGAAAGAGTATAATCTCTTGGGACACTTGGAAAATACTCAGGCTAGGATCTCCGTTCTTAAGTGAATTCGAAAGTCCCCACCACTTACAACTTTCTCCTTGGACGGCCATGGTTCACTCAGCTAGGACTGTCCCTTCTGGTATTCACTAAGGCGTGAAATACATTATCAATGGTCGGCAGATGTGAGGACTCGAGTTAGGAGCGTAGTGTAACTAAGAGAGTCATTCCATTTAGGGCGAGACAAAATGGGCAAACACTGGCAACCTGGTGTCTGAGCCAATTGTTTAGACAATGACTACTTCACTTATTAAATTAGTATTAGCCACTTATCTTGGATTGGGATGGAATAGAACCAACACGAAGTGCTAGCGCTATAGGGTCGATTTTTTTAGGGAGGATAAGCTTGTGAACAAGGATCAAAATATCGTTTCGAAATGGTCAAAATGTCCGAAACGTTTCCGTTTCTAAGGAGACCGAAACAAAACAGTGATGAAATCAAAATTTTAATATTTTGAGATATTCCATAATGTTTTTAAATGCTTTATAATATTTTAATATATTTGCACAATTGTTTTAGAATATTTCAAGGTATTTTAAGATATTTTGATATATTTCTATCAATGTTTTAGAAAAATAATTCTTAAATTTTTTATTTTTTTCATTATGTTTCCGAAACGAGTCGAAACTTTTTCGAAACACGTCAAAACGTTTCCGTTTCCTAGGTGATCGAAACAATACACCGAATCGATATTTTGATCCTTACTTGTGAAGAAGTAAGCTTATCCCCGCCTCAACCGTTTACCATAAGTATAACTTTTTCGTGGACGACAAACATGATTTTATTAATAGATGAAACCAAATCTTACATTATCCAAGTAAAGGTGGACAAGAAGTCCAGCCCGATAACATGCAAAACCTGAAAAACAAATTGCACATCAAAGTAACATCCTAACACACATTAACATCCACTTGATATTGTCTAACTCATTGTAATACAACAAAATGACATTCTTACAATTCTTCCTAACCGAGGCCCATAGGATGTTAAGAAATAGATCTGATCTCACACGTCCACCACATCCCTTTTGTCTTCAAATATCCTTGAATTTCTTTCTAGTTAAATAACCCACAAAATGGCCAAGGAAACACATTGTCAAAGAGTACATTCCTCCCACCTCTACCCAATCCATTAAAAACCAAATGCCGCATACATGAAATAGTTCTCAGTCTCACCTAACAAATCCCTACCGAGTCAAATATTTTAGTAGAACATTGGCCTTTAACATTCAAATTTTGTCAATTTTGTCTCAAAAGTATACATATTCAACCAATGTGGTCCTTAACCCTAGCATTAATTTAAATTATCAATGTTGACAAGAAAGTTTGCTTCAAGCACTTAAAATTGAATCCAATAAAATGTCAAGATAAAGGCTGAAAATATATAGGTGGCACGATTATTTGAGGCATAAGGCGCCAAGGTCATCTTGAGACTAAGCGCAACTCGCAAGGCAACGTGTGAAGCAGGGCACATCGTAACATTTTGCCTCAGAACAATAGGTGGAAAATAATGTCGGGATCTATGTGTAATTTTTAGTTGTGCTCATTTTATTTGAGGTCCAATTATAATTTATCAAGAAATAGAAAAAGAATTATTAACCTTAGGAAGAGAAAATGACAAAAAGGAAAATGTTTGCATGGGTGGCCAGTCGAACATCTTTATTTGTTGGCTCAGTGACATGTGAAGTGTCCTTAGAGTGAGAATTGTATAAGACTTAGAAGATTAGAACCGAAAGAAATGGAAAAAAATGAAAGTTGTCTATTTCTAGGAAGTGAACACATGGGGTGAATGATTGTGCATTAGGAAATGGGGCATTTGTACACCCAGAATCCTTTAAGGCTTTGAGAGATGTGATTGTGAACAAATTCAAATGTTAATGGGATAGAATGCAGATATGCTAATTTGGGTTAGAAATGCATACAGAGAAAGACAAGAAAGAAAAGAAATAATGGAAAAATAAGGAGAAAACAGCAAGCTTTGAGATGGCAATCAAATGCTGGTTGAATCCGTTTTGGGGTACCTTAATGTCAATATCTATCCATGTTAAGTGAGAGTTGGCTAAGTGGGGTGGTTTATGATATGCTACTAACCTACTACATATCTCATCTTGTTCTTGTTATTTTGTAAAATATGTAAGTATGTGGTGTGCAGAATTGAGATAGAACGTGGTAGTCAAACATTCAATACACTGATACTCCAAGATACCCCTTGGATGGATTGAAGCGAGGTAATTGGTGTCTAGTAAGATGTCAGGTCAGTATCAAGATTTTGCATGGCATAGAAGATGTTAATTATGACTCAGCTTACGCTTTTGTTATTAGATCCGACTATTTATGGTTTTATTCTGCCCATGAAGCTTTTCAGTTCGCCCCACTATCCCCTCGGTTGCGGGTTAAATGGGGCACCAAAAAATTGAGAAATGTCAAATTAGAAGAAATGAAGTTCACGATAATTTGGAGTCATTAATAAGGACTAAAATGTATGAAATTGGGTGAAGGTGGTGAAAATGGTAGCAGGCCAGTGAGTTATTATGTAGACCATCCTAGGTTTGATACTTGGAATAACGACTTGTGTATCACTAAGAAATTAATTAGAAACGCATATATTTATGATTGTGTAATAGATGTTTTTGACTTACTGGCTTGTAAACTTTCGAGGACAAGGCCAATAAGAGGAGGGAGTGTGTAAAATAGAGCTGCAACTTGGACAGTTGAGAGTCCAACCCAAACCCAACCCAAATTATAAAACTCTCAACCTGAGCCCAACCCAAACCCGACCTCAACACGAAACACCAAACCATAGGGGTGGAGCCTGAAATTTTTTCCTCGGTGGGCACTTTAACTAATAGCTTTAGTGTTTTTTTTTTTTTGTCAACTGATAAAAGTAAAAAAATAATATTATTGTTAGGGTAAATTTCACTAACGCCCACCGGAAAATGGCCTAATTTCAGGGACACCCCCTATGGTTTCTGCAATGTCACTATCACCCCTGTCAAGTTATGTCGGTTAACAGACCAAACGGAGTTCAAGATTTTACTGAATTACCTTTTAATCCTAACCACGGTTGGAAAAAACCCTCTGTTAACCATATGTATATAATGGATAAACCATGTGTTTACTCTTTGTGCCTGGAAATCGAAGAGGGAAAGGACCTCTCTCCTTCCCAAAATCGTTCTGCCTCTCTTCCCATAAACCAATGCATCCATGATGTTGCTTTTGGATTGAACCAGACACCATCGATTCTTCTGCCTCTCTCCCCACAAACCAATCGAACCATTATGCTGCCTTTGGGTTGAACCAGAAACAATCGATGTGGTTTCTCTAAACCATGGTTCCAACTAGATCACACACACAAAATAGAAGCAAATAGTAGAAGAAAAAGATAGAAGAGACTAAGAAAAAACCAAAAGATCACACACAGAGGTCAGTTTTGTTTAGTTTCAAATTTACCCTTTCATTTGAATGGGTAGTTATCACTTTCTTAAGAATATTTTCATCATTTAAATTAGGGTTTTTTGTGTTTGCATATGATTTTCGATATTTGCCATTTTCATTGGTTTTTTATTTCATTTTTAGATTTACCCTTTTATTTGAATGGGTAGTTATCACTTTCTTAAGAATGATAATTAGGGATTTTCACAAATTTGGTAAACTAAGGTCACTTTCTTAAGAATGAATGAGTATTTGTTTGACTGGGTCACTTTCTGGTAATTAGGGATTTTGGCAAATTTGGTGAATTAGGGCATTTTTTATGGAATGATGATTGGGACTCTTGCCATTTTTCCATGGTTCATTTTGGAATTGTGCATTTTCAAGATAGGTTCGTTTCTACTGCTTAGGGCTTTTGACAATATATTCTCATTTTGGTTGAATTCAAAATTGGTAGTTCACATACAGTTCCTTTCCTTAGTGTATATACATGGATGAGTAATTCTGCTACATACCAGAATTTGGTTGATTTTGCCCATTGATTAAAATTGGTTATTCAATTAAGTTCACATACAGTTTTTTCCTTACTGTGCATACAAAGATGAGTAGTTCTGCAACATATGATAATTAGTTATTCGTTTTGACACAAACTAGTATTGTCACTAAGACTACTACTACTAGTGTCGAAATCCATGTGATTGTTGTATTCACTGAGACCACTACTTCTAGTGTTGAACTCCAAGGAAATGTATTTAATAAGATGTTTATTTATAGGGGTCACCTGCGCCAAATGTGAGGAGAGGTAGGGGAGACGCAGAGGCAGAAATGGAGTGGAATTTGCACAGAACTGAGGTTGCAGTTTATGTAGACAAAGATAGTTTTTGAGGTTTCTTTGTTGACTGAAAATGCACATATCACAGAGGGTATGCTGCTGCTTTTGTTGCAGAATACATATAAGAAAAACAGATTGCACTATGCTGCTTTTGTTTTTGTTGCAGTCGCAAGATTGCACATATGTAATGATACATTATGTTATGGTATGAAGCAAACCTTATTCTGCACATTATGAGGGTAAGCTGTTATATTATGGTATCTAAAGTAGAACAGTGGTAGAGAGCAATGACTAGTGCTATGTTTCAACCATTTGCCATATAGTTTCTCATGTCCCATTAACAAAGCAACGAGGAGACACCAAACAAGTAAAAATTTGAAGAAACAAAAATTGAGAACTTAGTACATAAGATTAGCAATTACATTTAGCACATAGAGCTGCTTGCTTTTCAAAATCTATTTAAATAAAGGCCCAAGAAAATACAAAAACCTAATTCAAAAACCCTAATTCAAATAACCAAAAATCCAAAATTCTAAGAGAGAGAGTCAACCCTAACCAGAAAATAACCATCCAATATCCTGCAACCTCAAACCCATTGAAAGGAACTGGATTTCAGTCAAGTTGAGGGTATAATGGGTAGATCATTGTAAAATATGCCATGACATCATCTAGTCTATTAGACGTCAAGCAAAGACAGTAGGGGTATCATGTGGATGTGTGAAACTTAATATAAACTACAAGGGTATGTAGTGATATTTCAGAAACCACAGGGATGTCCCAGAAATTAGGCCATTTTCCAGAGGGTGTCATTGAAATTTACCCTTCTTTTTATTATATCATATTTGATATATAAAAATTCAGTGAACGCAAATGGACCAAAAGACAATGATTTATAAACAAGAAAAAAAAAACAATTACAACCTTTTACAAAAAACAAATTGCAATTAACTAGAGTTTTTATATTAAAAGGCATTGTATGACAACTTCATTGTTTTTTTTTTTTTTGGACAACTTCATTGCTAATGTCATCAAAAATATATTTCTCTATAATCAAGTTATCAGTCATCTATTCATATCATTTTAGTTAAGCAATCGAATTCTCACAATCTTCGCTTTTAATTTATACAAAAATATGTAAGTTGTGAAAAAATAAACCCAGCAAATCAAAGAGAATAAAAGACTAATTTCAAATAATTTCACTTTTAAATTAAGAATGAAAATCCAAAAAACTCATAAATATGTAATCAAAGTCTATTGAAGAAAACCTCCGAAACTATAAAACTGATCAAATATGTAATTATTGATTAATCACAACTCATATTTTTATAAAATATTGTCAAAGATAAAAGTGGTAGGGTAGGCACCACAAAATATATATGAATAATATTTAAATTTATTTCTCCATACAAATAAAAAATTGAGGGTGCGCTCGCCCCTTACTAGATCCGCCCATGTCAACCTAAGTACTGCCTTAAACTCCAATTATTAAACCGGGTTCAATTTTCGAGTTAGATTCAAGTTTTTAAATGTTGTCACCTTTAACTCTTTTATTAAGTTCACATAGGCCCAATGAAAGTCAAGCCCATTAAAACATAAGTCACATGGAGTTTGTCTTCTTCATATACAAGAAGAGAGAAACTCTTTTTGTTTCCAACCGATATGGGATTCTAACTTAGATATTCTTTTGTTCTTTATTCAACATCTCACATCGGTTCAACAAGAGAGCTTGCACTCCTTTTAGTGCTATAAAAACTTTCTGATGAGTGTAACACACCTTATTATATTGTGTGACACATTATATAAATATTTTTTAGGTGGGATCATAATAACAAAAGGTAAAAAGCACCGATAATCCAAGAAATATTGAATGGGTTAAGATTAAATTAAAATCCAACTTAAAACCAATTAGCAATGAGTGGAGAGGCTCATTCACCATTTAAAACAATTTTTTTAGTTCTAATCATTCGAACTGGGATACAAAATCGCTTTACGGTCTCACCCACTTAAGGCTCAAACTTGAGCGTCAAGCTAACAAAAACACAAATAAGCATATCAAAATATTCATATGGGGAATAGAATAGGCCCACCAACCACCTACAGCTTAACCATGATTCCATGTTAGACCATTTAACTCAAATCAATTAGCAATGAATGGAGAAGCCCTCAACAATAAAAATCAACCTTAGGTTTTCATAATCATGCAAAGTGAGATACAAGTTCTCTTTATGGAGATGCAGTGATTCAAATACAAATCCCTATTTTATTCTTTGTTGAATCAATATTCTTGTTCTATTTTTTCCCCTCCTTTGATGATATGGAAGGATAAAGTTCATGTTAAAGTGCAAATTTTTGCATGGACAGTTACACATGAAAAGCTTAACACTTGTGATATGCTTCAAAAAAGAAAGCGCACAGTTGTTTTTTGCCTAAGGGGTGTGTAATGTGTAAAGGTGATTGTGAAAGTACAGATCACTTATTTTTGCATTGCCCTGTTGCTTTGGCTATGTGGTATAAATTGTTTCAAGTGGGTGCTTCATTTATCATCTATATCTTTTTTTTATTGAAGATATGAAAGGCTTTGGGAGGTTCGATAAAGGTGCGACTCTTTGGAATTGTGCTATTATTGTTATTTTTTGGGTTATTTAGAAGGAAATAAAAGCAAGAATCTTTGAAAATCAATATGAGTCTTTGTATGGTTATAAGACTGTATTCATCTCTTAGCCTCATTTTGGGCTTAAGTTTCTAAGACTTTTAAAGGAATCCCACTCTTTGCAATCTTTGCGGGATGGAGAGAAATTTGTGACGTATAGGCTTGTTATGTAACTATATTTCTCTCGTCTTCTTTTCTTATTGGTTGGATTTCTTATCCAATCTTTTTGACGTAACTTTTATTTCTTAATCATTAATAAAGCGTTTGGTTTCTTATAAAAAAAAATAGGAGATACAGTGATTGGTGGGATACCAGGTCCATATCCAGGCCTGACATGCACATGAGATGTTGAGTATGATTCTATTATGGATATCTTCTCCTTGCAGGCTTTTCAACTCACCCTTGTTATTCCCCCTCACAGGATAGATTGGGCATCGAGACATAGAGAAATATCAACCTGGAAGATTTGAAGTTTATGGTTTGGTTATCTTTACAGATTTAGCCCCAAATTTGTATGAGCCGTAGACTAAGCCCTAAGAAGGGATAGAAATGAAAGATCTGTGAAGATATTTTACTTATCCAAATCCCATGGATAACTTATTAAGTGCTCTTATTTGTATGAAATTGGATCAGGATGTTACATGTATGTTCTAGACACCAAGCAACTATGTTAACACTGAGAATATTTCAACATTGAATATGTTAACACTGAGAATATTTCAACACTGAATAAATTAAACAATTAGACAATTATGAATAAGAAATCATGAGTAATCAAACAGTTAACAGCTCAAGAATCCAATTCCAATCAGACTTGCATTTAAATAGATTAATTAAAATCAAGGATAAAATCAAAAACAGGATACACAATTGAACTATAACACATTAACAAACTAAAAAGTGACACTAAAGAAATTAGAGAAAAATAAGAACGAGACAAAAATAGAAAATAAAAAAAATTAAGCAGTGACACTAGAACAGGTCAAAAAACACAAAAATCATGGGGAAGAGGACAGATTCTATAACAGGTTGTCCATGAGGTATTATACATATCAGATATTCTCTTCAAAGTCAATAGATCAATGGCTCAAAATATATCAAAAAGGGAAAGAAAAGCCTACGGGGGCCATGCGTCTCAACCACTACTTGTTGAGAATGCCTCGCTTCAGACCTATTGATGTGCTTCAGGTGAAACTCATGCCTAAGCATGCTTCTCACAACATTGGTAAGTAGTTTGGACGTTCAAAAAAAATTAATAAACCTAAAATTAATTTACAGCACACAGTTGCTGATAGACATTGTAAAAACCAATTTCGGTGGTGTCATAGAAGGGTCATAGTACTGATAACATTTTCAGTAATGCCAAGAAAATCA